CTGACTGGGCACGTTGGGCTGTGCAATCTATTGGCCCAGCTTGGGGCCAGCCTAAGGACAGACGCACAGTGGATGGCTGAAAAGGTTGGGAGCATAGGCCAGAATGCCAGGGCCGGTGTTAGACTTCACTGGGAGCTGGTACAAATCTTCACATTGGCGGGAGGTGGCGCCATCAGTCAATGTGGTGTAAGGACATCATGCAACTTTTGCCAGCACCACAGAAGCCAGCCCAGGCTGCCTCTGCTCCGATTCTGAATCCCTAATTTGTTGCTCTGGTAAGATGGTTAAAACAATGGGCTGGATTTGTATCACCTGCTCAGATAAAATGGGGCCAGGTTATTTCAGGCACAGCCTGATGTCTGAACCCTAACTAGGAGGGGTGTGTGTGTGTTGAACTAGAAGACTTCTAATCTGTTATTCTGTTAGCCTCCCCAGCCTGTTAAACTAGCCTGTTTATTGCTTTTAGTTAATTAGTTAGTTTATTTTAGTGTCATTGCAGATGGTACAACAAAATTAAATGCCGTTTTCAGTGTATGTTTTTCTGAGCCCAGAATGTTTTGCAAACAGGGGCTTGCTTGGGGTTTCCTTAACCTTGGGCTTCGCTCAGCCAAAGAGCCTGAAAGCTCCTTTCATTTTCTAAATGGAAGAAAATGCCATCTTTTGCATTTGACTGGGACAGCTGTTTAGTTGCGCTCACCCCACCCTGCTCCTTCTCTGGGCTCTTCTGGGTTCATCTGAAGCAGCTTTCTTTTGAGGCTTGAACGCTGAGCCGGCTTATTTTTCAGAGTAACTGGACTCAGGGCCAAACCTTTGTCCCTTTTTCTTGCTTTTTTGTTAATTTCTTTCCTGTGAGTCATCTGTCAAAAACACAAGCAGACCACGGAGGCAAAATGCAGTAGACTTAGACAATACAGGCAGCCGTCGACTTACAACAGTTCATTGAGTGACTGTTCAAACTTACAGCGGCACTGAAAAAAGTGGCTTACGACCGTTTTTCACATTTACGACCCCTGCAGCATCCCAGGGGTCTCATGATCAAAATTCAGACATTGGAAACTGGCTCCTCTTTATGACAGTTGCAACGTCCCCTTTTGCGACCACCTGACAAGCAAAATCCACAAGAAAGCCAGATTCACTTAATGAATGTGTTGCTAATTTGACTTCTGCAATGATTCACTTAACAGTGGTGGCAGGGAAGGTCGTAAAACAGGTCAGGATTTGCTTAACAACTGTCTTGCTTAGCAGTGGAAATCTGGGGCTCAGTTGTGATTGTAAGTTGAGGGCTGTTTGCAGTTAGGTGACAGTAGGGTTTATGAAGACCATAGCAAAATACTCACTGCAAATCTGCCTTTTCACCCACTGGCCCGGCTTTCTCAAGGAGAAAGGCTCCCTTGGCTCTCAAAATCCATGTGGGACAGGCATGCTCCTTGACTTGCAAGAGTTCACTCAGAGACCATTCAAAGTTAGAGCAGCACTGACTGTGTTTCCCATTTACAACAGTTGCATCTTCTCCATGGTCATGTGATCAAAATTTGGACGCTTGGCAACTGACTCATATTTAGGAGGGTTGCAGTGTCCCAGGGTCGCATGGTCCCTTTTGGCGACGTTCTGAGAAGCAAACTCAGTGGGGAAATCAGACTCACTTAACAACCGTGTTACTAACTTAACAACGGCAGTGACTCGCTTAACAACAGTGGCCAGAGCAGTCATAAAATGGGGGGAGGAAAGACTTCACTTCACTTAGCAACAGAAATGTTGGGCTCAATTGTGGTGATAAGTCAAGGACTACCTGTAAAAGAAATAGCTCCTTGCTATCAGGAGCCTCCTGAAGCACGACAGGTGTAAGAGCTGCATGGCTCAGGGCTCTGGATGTTGGGCAAGGACTGGGGACAGCCGGTTCAACCTCCCGCTTGTCAAGAAGACCCTTGGCTCCCATACAGCCATCAATACTGCACACCTGTTGGTCCTTGAGTAGCTACCAAGTTCTGCCCTTGTGTTCCCATTTCATTGTAGCTTGGTATCTTGCATTCAGGTGATGTGGAAACCCTGAGCCAGCTCTGTATTTTATCTATTTATTTCATATTTAAGAATCCCCTCATACAGAGAGATTTTTCTATAGCAGCTACTAAACCTATATTCTAAGCACTGAGTGCTGGATAAGAAGTAACAGGCAATCATTAAACAGAATCCAATCTAGAACTAAGGAGACATTTCCTGACAGTGAGAACAATTAATCAATGGCACAGCTTGCTTCCCAAAGTTGTGGGTGCTCCATCACTGGAGGTTTTCAAGAAAGGATCGGACAGCTATTTCATCCAGAATAGTGTAGGGTTTCCTGCTTGAGCAGGGGAATGGACTAAAAGGCCTTCAAGTCCCTTCCAATCCTATTATTCTATGTTCTAAAGAGTAGACATAATATAGTTTTGGGGTTATATGGTGGAAAAGAAGTGAACTATTAGAATATCTTCCAACCAATAACCCCATACCTCTCAATAGAACCTAGAACAGAACAACTTTATTGTCACTTTGAATGTACACTAATCGGCATACATTAAAATGAAATTTCATTGCATAGAGCTCTCAAAGAGTCCCCACCTCCAATATACACTATATAACAATGACAGAATAAATAAATAACTACAAAATTATGCATATACCCTCATATACTATATGACACAGAGAAACAACACAGTCTAGTCCGGATGTGTACATGTACATGGTGAGAAAAACAAATCAAATGGGAGGCGAGAGTATTCAGGCCACCACCCCACTCTTGATAGAACCTACCTTATAGGTGGTTAATTCCACATTTGTACTTGCTCACCCACTCCCTCCTTTTCGGGGAACAGCCATTGATAGAGCCATTCAGGCCAATTGCAGCTTAATCCAGAAAACCTGGCACCTTTTTTTTTTTAAAAAATATATTTTTTA